GCATGTACAAGAAAAGACCAATATATAGTCTTATTTTTGGAATTAAGCTTCTCTTACCATAACATATCCTACACCAAATCATTGGGAGGTAGGGTGGAATGCCTCCTGCTACTGTAAACAATGCTTATGGTAGAGCAAAGAGCTCAATAAATGCTTATGGACCAAAAGAGACTCACTGAGAGAAGAACCAAAAAGGCCATAGCTTGTCCTCTGCTTCTTCACCAATACTGTGAACTCAATCAGCTCCTCACTTGAGGCAAAGGCACACAGGCCTTGACTGGTTCCCTTGAGGTCTCTTCATCCCTGTCCTATTTCCCTACCTGAGATTTAAATGGTTTTGAGAGAGATGGGAAAAGAGAAATTTAAAAGGTTAAGAGAAGAGGAAATGAGGAAAGGAAAGAAACCGAAAGAAAGGCGCTGAGGGGGAAAGGGAAGGTGGAGCTCCAGAGAAGCATGCATCGCTCTGAGAGGAAGGATCAGAAAGAAGGCCACCAAACACTCAACACTGCCACCCACCCTCCTGCCTTGTTCCCACTGCCATCCTTACTTTGAGGACAGAGTAGGATTCACGGTGCTGAAACACCCAGTATTAGGACTCCATAATTATATCATGGCATGAAGTAGTTACAGGATGTTTGGGCCTGGAGAAAACATTTCACTCTAGACAGACACATGCCTGCCTGTGCTCTTTTCCACATTTGGGAGGCCATGACCTTTATTCCCACACCCAAAGTATCTATTATGTGTGAAGCCTCAGTTCCAAACTTTTTATGGTATGCCTTTTTGTCAGAAGCAAAATGTTTCTCAAAAACATTTTTTTTCAGCTCTTCACATACAAATCCTCTTATCCCAAAAAGTGGCTTACAATTTCTATTAGAAGCACATCTAAGTCCAAGAAGAATCTGGAATGTCACACAGCACCTCTACCCTTGAGGAGCTATGGCTCTTCTTTCATACTGCAGTTGAGAACCTCTTTATTAATCGATACAATATAGCCTCTATGGCCCAGTGAAAGATATATGCTTTCTTAATTCACAGTATTCACCAAATTATAAAAATTCATTTGTACCATTTAGTGTGTCTTCATGAAACTGGGGAGCTACTGGTTAGGATAAAGATACTGTTATAGAACAGAGAATACAAATCACTTGAAATCCATAACCAGTTTAACCACAAAGACAGCCAGGAGCCCTCTGCTACTCTAGGTGACAGCAGGAGCTGGCAGATGGTAGAAATACCCTTTCTGGCAACTGTGCCCAGTCACCCTGCATGGCATGATGTAAGATAAAAGCATCTGCTGACTTCCAGGGGTATAATTACCACCAGGGTGGGGGTGTAATTAAAGTAAGCGTAATTTACCTTAAAGAAGATAAAAATTAAGAATTATTAATGACAATAATAATTAGCTCTTTTATATCTAAGAATCACAAAATGCTTTACAAGCTGTAATTATCACAGCTCCCCTGAGGAAGGGATTCATATCTTACAGTTCCTCATTTAACAGTGGGATGAAGCAATGGACATCAGGGAAGGCAGAAGGGGGTGGAGTACTGCCTCCTCTGTCATCTGTCCTGTAAGTGGTGAAACTACAAAGAGGCCCCAGAAAGGCTGACTCTTATTAAGGTGAGTACCCTCATCCCCAAGCCATCAGGCAAACAGCTGGTCCATCCCAGGACCAAGTGATTCATCTCATTCTAACCTGTTGGCCATTTAAACTGCCACAATGCAATAAAATTATATCATATCAGCAAGCATTTTTAAAACATCTATTAGGAATAAACGATACAGGACTACCTTCAAAAAACTTAAAACCTAATTGAGAAGGTAAAACAAGCACCCATTAAACTAGAGAAGAATATAAAAATTACACATTAGTGCTAAATTGTATGATGCTGACTATGTATGCTATAGGGGAAAAAAATTTTAATTTAAAGATCACTCCATGTAAAGGTCAAAGAAGGTTTTGAAAAGGAGACTGAACTTCTCTGGGGCCTGAAAGAAACTATACTAGGTTTTAGATTGACAGAGGTGAGATCCAAGAGGTGGGTAAATGAATACAAAGAAGTGATAGAAAAACTTGAAAGATTTAACACATAGTTTTTTAAAGAAGTCTTTGATGGAGAGCTGTTTGAAGCATCTTACATTTTTTCAAAGCCATGTAGAATTACCCTTCTTTGAACATTTTCCCAGAATGTCAACATCATAGTTCATACTGGGTTCTGGAGGAGTCCTTTAGGTTAAAGATGACAAGAGAAACTTCTTTGCTTTATCTAAATCTTTACTCTGGAAGTTATCTGGTTGAGCTAAGTCAGAGTCTGGGCCAGGTAAATGTCACAGAATGTCAAATCTGTCTCTTTTTTTCTGGCTTCTAACAGGAGAAAATAGGAGATGAGCCCTTGAATGAGATAAAGACGAGGAAAATCTAATACTCTTAGTATTTTATGTGTTTGTTTATTAATCCAGCAGAGCCCCACCCCCAAAGATTTCAAAAGTGACAGGGGTTTCATATTAATATAATATTAAAGCATCTAAGTAATATAAATTTTATTTTCTCTTTTTAATTCCTCTATAATAAAGAGCTCAAGTCTCAACACCAAATACCAGGATAATACTATAGCTGTACTATAGATATGCTCTGATAAGGAAGGGCATTCTTGCAGAAATGGAACAGGGAGACCTGGGTCATTCCCAGGCCAGTCAGCAATATTCCCTGACCTTTCAGTGCCTCAGTCTCCAGTCTTAAAAAAGAGTGATTTTGGAGCTTTTAGTCTATAAAAAATGAGGAGATCTTTCAAATTGTAAGAATATTTTTATTTTTTTGACGGTCCACAGTAAAGGAACACTACTACATTTCAAGAATTCTCAGTTGGTCTCAACTAAAAATAGACTGAACCAGTTGGTTAGGATTTGATAATTTTCTACATTTGTTAGCTTTTACCAACCTTCTGAAAAACTAGAAGGCCATGGAAACTATTTCTCTGTCCAAGCTTTATGTCACTGGCTCCTTTTAAAATGATATTCTCAAATAATGACAGTGTATAAACTAAAAGAATGTTATGTAGCAATGAAGATACTTCACTAGGAGAATTTCAAACTTGATTTTGGATTTAGCATGTTAATCTACTTTACTTTCTGATGATGGACCAAGAGCAGGAATGGAGGCCAATTTTCTTAGGTTAATGCAGGTTTTAAAATATTTTCCCTTATGCTGAACTAACTTTTAATAAGAGTGGGTAGGAGAACCATCACTGAATTTTAAAATCTAGCATCATTCAGAGAGGAGGAAGAGTTTTTCTGTTATAATGAATGCAATTTGGGGTATTTTTCAAGGCTGTTCAAAAGTATGTGGGTGGGGGGAATTGCCTTCTAATTATAATTTTAGAATGGTTAATGCTACTTTTCTCTTTATTTTCATGGAACCTAACAATTTCCAGTTCCCTTTTCGGTTTATTCCCTATAGAAAAATATCCCAATACATCAAACATTGGAGGATACAAACAAAAGCAGACTTAAGGTAAGCCTTGCCCAGGTTATTCTTTGAAGAACACTCATGATTGCAGTGTGGTCAGTGCTTATGATGGTCTTATCTTAGAATCCAAAGAGTAAGAGATCTGCATAAAATCCTAGACTTCAGTGTTGAAGCCTTTAAGAGGCAGAAATGAGCCATGCTTATAATTGTCTTACCATTCCCTGTCACTTCTACCTTCCTCTTAACCCCACATCTGGGATGACAGCAAGTGAAGGGGCATATAGAGTTGAATTCCATTATAATTTGGACCAATCTGCATATAAAGAAATAGCCACCAAGAATTAGATTCCAAATTTTCACTCATGCCATTGAAGGACCCTAAAGTTCCCTCAAAATTCAGAAAACCAATAATTGCCTCTGTTGGACAAAGGAGGAAACAAAAGTGCAGAGAAGACATTGAATCATCTAATAGTCTTCATAAGCCTTACATTTCAGACTATAGTCAAAGTTTCATATAGTCTGAAATGTAAGGATGGAAGTCACTGACAACCATGGATAAAATCCAATTCTTTACAATAAAACAGCACTGAAATTTGCAAATGATCAACCGAATTGAGAAAGCCCTGATGGATATAATGGGCTAGAATAACCGATTACCTCAATGTGCTTCCAGGAGAAGCAGACTCAAGTGTTTAGATGTCATAATCATTAGTAACTGAGGCTAAGTAGGATGATTATATCTACAATAATGCATTACACCAGCTCTTTTTCCCCAGGGGCATCAATATGCTAATGAGAAAACTAATGAACAAACTTCATTTAAGTTTAATCTCTCTAAGAATGAAATTTCACAGATTTCAAGTTTTCTTATGAATGATTTAATAAAAATGTATTTCTAAGGTACCCTCCCAAACTGTTTACTGAGGAGGCAGTCTCCAGTCTGTAAGAAAACCCTCGTAAGACCCAGGAATACAAATGTAAAAATTTTTCCTACCTGCATTTTTAGAGAAGAAACTAACCAATTCTTTGCATCTCTCTCATTGCTCTAAAATTGAAGCAATTGCTTCCGGCAGGGCTTATGAGCAGCTCACCATGGACTGTCACATCCCATAGAGAAATTAATTGCTTTTCATCAGTTTATTTCAAAGTTTCTGCTTAATCCCAAACTAGAGTTTGTATCTTTTATAAAGCAAATGGCTTAGGGGTCACTCCTTTGTAATGAAGTAATAAGCAATTAAGATTCTAAAGATTTAATACCTTTGTTTTATTGTTCAATTTAGTTTTAACAATTAAAGAAAACTGGAGATTCTGCCAAATATTTTACCCTCTTATGTTAGGTGGGGCCAGTACCCTGATTGTCAGGAAGCAAGGTCTGTGAACCTTGTGCCAAAGAGCTACGTGAGCAAATAGTGAGATAAACAAGCCATTTGTGAAGACAGAGGTGGAGCTGGACTTGTTAGGAATGAATCAGGCCATCCCACAGAGTGGGTGTCTCCTTCCCAAGTTGCTCTCCAGGGCACAATTAAAACCCCTATAAAAGGCCAAGCTCCCAGTTACCCAGTACACTTGCCCGTGGTGTCAGCGAGCACTGGACTTCTTCCTCTGGTGAAGTGGGTAAGTCCCATTCTGTGGGATTATGGTCTTCTTTTTGATTCTCCATTTTTATAGCTATTTCAGATGTTGGGGCATGGGGGGAGGTTCTAAGTGCCAGAAGGTATCAGTATCTTACAGGGATAAATAAACTTTTACTAATTCTTTTCCATCTTCTTATGGTTGGAGCCATCACTGGAACTGAAACATAACCCTTCTCCCTGGGCTCTGAACTCTATACTTCTCTGAACTCTGAACTCAAAGATGATCATGTGTGGCTCTGATAGGATTCATCTTCCTAAAAACTTCCATCTCAAAAGTTTGCCAACCCTCTGTTCTCTTTTACATTGGTTCTACCTAATATGAGCCATCTTCATACAGTCACAGCATCTAAGATATTGGATTTGAGAATTAGATAAAGAAGTTAGCTAGGTGAACCATTTCACATACCCTGCCAGCAATGCCATCAATGTATTCTTATAACATTGACCTACTGCTGGCTAATGTTTTCTAAAAAGCCAAGATTCCAAGAAAACCAATATCATTCACAGTTTTCTGGATTGTTTGGTTCAGAAAGGACCTCTCAGAAGCTTTCAATACTTCAATATCTGAATATCTGTATTATATCTGTGTTGGAGCAGGTATCAAACACTCCCTGTTTTCTGCATGTGTGTATCTGAATGTTACCACCTTTTGACTAGGAAGAAGTACTATTTAATTTTAAAATTGCTGACTTATGAATTATATTCTATAAGAGTTCCTAAATTCCTTATGGACTGTAATGTTGGGGAACAATTCACATTCCCTTCATTGTTCTATTTTCTACCAAATGTTTTGCTGACATGGCTGCTATCCACTTTAAGATACTCTCAAGTCTTCCTTCACCTTTTGGCTTTTACCTGTCCTTTTTGCTCAACTTTAAAGCAAGGTGTTTATGAGTAGAAATATATCAAATTTTGATTTCTGCACTCCTATCTTTATTGCCTGCTCTGAAATATGCTGGAGGAAATAGAGAAGAAAAGGACATAGATAATCCACATTGGGTGGACAATCAAAAGCTCACTATAGGATAGCCTGAAGATGATTCCCTGGCTTGGAATTTCTCAGGATCGCTTTTTCTCTTTCCGATACAATATTCAAAGGTTAAACTGCTCCGAAAGTCCAGGTTGAAAATACTGCTATAAATTCAACTTATTTGGGAATCTGCCTGAAATAGTGTGAATGAAGCTTTCCCAAGAGCAGAAAGGAGATTTTGATTCTGGATCTTATTTTATTGTTAGGTTTACTTGAACTTGAAAGAAAGAAAAAAATGTCTCCACTTCTGAGAAGCATCTGTGACATCATTGAAATTTTCAATCAATATGACTCACATGATTGTGATGGAGTGGCATTAACTAAGAAAGACCTGAAGAACCTCCTTGAAAGAGAATTTGGAGCTGTACTTCGGGTAAGAACTAATAAAAAAAAAAAGAGATCTGTTGACTTGAAGCTATGAGATTTATTCTGAGGAAGCCAGAGCAAGGAATGGTGGCTTTATATTCATTTTACACAACAACTTGTCTACACTACATCCCCCATTCATTTCTGAGCCAGAAGGTACTTACTTGGCATTGTAGTCTGAATAATAAAGTATTTCATGTACTTGATGGTGTGGCCATGTAAATGAGCTCTTCATGGGACATTACCACAAAAGATGTCAAATCAAATTAGATTTGGAGAAACTTAAATTTGTTTGCAATTTCAAAACTGAGATCAGCCTGATCTCTGCTAAAATGGTGCTACCCATAAATGTTTTGTTCTGTTTTCTAATATGGAATAGAAACCAAATCAAGAGTACTGGCCACTTCAGACAGAAGAAGTGACTACCGCAAATCTTCACTAATTTCCATTGTAGCTCTCTCAAGGATGAGTTCATTCTCACTCAATTAAAGAGAACTTGTTTATTCTTTCTTGAGGTTGAGTAGCTTTGTTAATTTTACACGTAAGTTCACCACGCAGTTTTGAATCTTCACTTCAAGCTCTGCCTCTAAGGTATGTAGGCTTACCCACTATTCTACTTTGTGTCTCTCTTCCTACATCCTCCAGTTTGGTCAGCACTAAATTACGAGATGCAAAAATTCCCAAGTTGAAGGTTCATATTTTACATGGGGACAAGACTTGATACACACTGGGCATTTTTCTAATTGCTCTGAATGTCTCTTGAGTGTGAGCATAGCATAAAATATATCATGTGTGAATACAGTTTTACTACCTGTAAACAGTACATTGTAAAATTTTTGTTTTCATCATTTTTATAGAGACCACATGACCCCAAGACGGTAGATCTGATCCTGGAACTTCTGGATCGTGACTGTAACGGGCATGTCGATTTCAATGAATTCCTCCTATTCATTTTCAAAGTGGCTCAAGCTTGTTACTACGCTCTGGACCAGGCCACGGGACTAGATGAAGACAAGCGAACCCTCTGTGATGGAAAGGAGAACCTGTTACAAGATCGCAGGCAAGAAGACCAAAGGAGATTCGAGCACCAGGGCAGACAACTGGAAGGAGAACCTGGGCAACGACGGAGGCAGAAGAGGCAGGAACAGGAGAGGGAGCTCACTGAGGGAGAGGAGCAAAGGGAGAAACAAGAGCGACTTGAGCAGCGTGATAGGCAGCGCCGCGACGATGAGCTTCCAGACGACAAGCAACAGCGAAGGCGGGAGCTGCAGGGGCTGAGGAGGGAGTGCCGTGAGGAGAAGCAGCAGCGAAGGCGAGAGCTGCAAGAGAGAGTGCTCCAGGAGGAAGAAGAGAAGCTGCAAAAACGGGAGAGGCAAGAGCAAAGGGAGCGCCTGGAAGATGAACCGCAGCGGCAAAGAGAGCTCCAGGAGGAAGAAGATAAGCTACAGAAGCAGGAGCGGCAAGAGCTGAAGAGGGAGCGCCAGGAGGAAGAGCAGCAGCTGCAAAGGCTAAGGCCCGAGCAGGAGGAAGAGAGGCGCGAGCAGCGGCTGAAGCGCGAGCAGGAGGAGGAGAGACTCGAGCAGCGGCTGAAGCGCGAGCAGGAGGAGGAGAGGCTCGAGCAGCGGCTGGAGCGCGAGCAGGAGGAGGAGAGACTCGAGCAGCGGCTGAGGCGCGAGCAGCGGCTGAAGCGCGAGCAAGAGGAGGAGAGACTCGAGCAGCGGCTGAAGCGCGAGCAGGAGAAGGAGAGGCTCGAGCAGCGGCTGAAGCGCGAGCAGGAGGAGGAGAGGCGCGAGCAACAACTAAGGCGCGAGCAGGAGGAGGAGAGGCGCGAGCGGCGGCTGAGGCGCGAGCAGGAGCTGGCTGAGGAGGAGGAGCAGGAACAGGTCCGGGAGGAGATTAAGAGCCGCACCCTGAAGTGGCAGTGGCAGCTAGAAAGGGAGGCCGACGCACGGCAAAGCAAAGTCTACTCGAGGCCCCGCAGGCAGGAAGAGCAGGAGGAGAAGAGGCGGCGCCGGGAGCGTGAGCTGCAACGGCAGGAGGAGGAACCCGCTCGCCGGCAGCAGCAGCAGGAGGAGCAGCGCCGGGACTTCAAATGGCAGTGGCAGGCTGAGGAAGAGAGCGAGAGGCGCCGACAGAGGCTGTCGGTCAGGCCCTTGTTGCGGCAGCAGCGGGAGAGGCAGCTGAGGGCCGAGGAGCGCCTGCAGCGGGAACAACGGTTTCTCCAGGAGGAGGAGGAGAAGGAGCAGCGTCGCGAGAGGGAGCAAGAGCTGCAGTTCCTGCAGGAAGAAGAGCAGCTCCAGCGGCGGGAGCGCGCCCAACAGCTCCAGGAAGAGGAGGACGGCCTCCATGAGGATCAGGAAAAGAGGCGACGCCAGGAACAGCGCCGCGACCAAAAATGGAGGTGGCAGCTAGAAGAAGAAAGGAAGAGACGCCGCCACACGCTGTACGCCAAGCCGGCCCCACGAGAGCAGCTGAGGAAGGAAGAGCAGCTGCAGCAGGAGGAAGAGCAGCTGCTGAGAGAGGAACGGGAGAAGAGAAGGCGCCAGGAGAGGGAGAGGCAGTACCGCGAGGAAGAGGAGCTGCAGCAGGAGGAAGAGC